CTACACTTCTGGCGGTTAATGCAATTATCCGAATAGAAGACTGCTAGAAAAGTATCAAACGACAAACAAGAACAATAGTTGAAAGTTGATATAATATTGGTTAGTGCGCGTCGCCAACAAAAGCAATAAATGACCAAACTTTTCCTCTTACTAAGTACCTGATATCGCATAAAAGCAATTTTCTGGGAACCGTAATTTCGCCGCTAATCAGCAATTCACATAAATGTTCCACAGGGATTTCACATGTGATGTAATACTGGGAACTGAAGCTTTTCCCGCGAGGAATATGACGATCGCATTACAGAGGAAACTACCTATCCATATCGTTTTCGATTCCACCAATATTAATGCCAAAGGTAAGAATATAATCGTCTTATTTGCTCAAAATCGAAAAATGAGAGGTTTTTAAGATTTTACATTCGTAGGCTTATGATAGGATCAATGACCTTTTTCACAACCACCCATCCAACCACATCGGCCACGTCTACGATGTCACAACAGTTTTTTCGTCCTCTAATCCAGTCTGCGCCTAATTGTAGACTTATTCTCTTAGCACGAGTCACGAAGATGATAAAAATGGCGGCTGATTTTTTCATTGCCATTCATGATGTAAATGAATACCTATTGGCTTGCGTTGGACCAAGGATAACACATATTCCCAAGTCGAGATCGAATAGTATGCTTTGATATAAGGGTGTAGAATATAAGGCGCGGTACCCTACTCCTCTAGTATAATGAGATACGTAGTTGTTGCGCTGCTTTACACCGTTATAACTCAATCGACTCCACCTCCTTATGAACAGATGCTCTCCTCTGGCCTGAACCATGATATGTAATATGACTGTAATACCGCTAGCAGCCTCTTCCTCGTTTACCTAGAAATGCAGGCCAATAGTTGTTGAAAAGAATTAGGATAATCACGTTCAAATATAATAATATTTGTATACTTATGGAATAAGACAGATTAACTATAAAATAAACGCTCTCTGAAAAACCCCCACTCTTTCGCTGAAAGATCACATTATGTTGAATTGGATCTTGTTTGATACATATTATTGTGTGAACCTTCAGTTGATAAAACTACGACACAATAGTTTGAACTCTGCATCATATAAACGTCTACGCCATTCACATCTACCCTTCTTATTATAGATACTTACTAGAATGACCAATCGTATGTCATATTGAATGGTATAAGAAAGATTGAAAATGATATATATCATGGTCTAAAGATCTGTAAGTATCGTAGGCGGTGGTGGAAAGGAAAGTCAATCATCCTATCATAAGCCCCTACAGATAATCACTGATGAATGTAAAATCTTAAAACCTCTCTCGGTCTTCGTTCTTGAGCAACTAATACCGTCATCCTTGCATTTGTGAATTGTTTTTGGATTGTCCGGTTCGGGGTTATTTAAATCTAATAGAAGATAAATTATATAATTAGAAACGTGGAAATAGGGAAGTTATATAAATTCAATGTTGTCATACATTTTATACATTCCGACATCCTGTTTTCCGAATATCCCATCCTAACGGCATAACGCTTCCTCTGCTTCGTCTGTAGACTGATGCTTTATACTAAAGCCTGTTCATCTTTATAGATCATGCCTATTATTGAGAAACAAAGGTACATAAGGTAATCTTGATCGTTGAATGTTAAGACCGCAAGCTGTTCAACTAACCTGTCGACTATCTCGGCGAAATGGGAAGAACTTTGGATAATTGGATAAAGTTTTGCACCACAATCACTCATAATTGTTTGATGCCAGTAACACGTACTCCTTCAAATCCCTTACGTTCCAAGACGAAATCGACTGCGAAGTTACATATCCTATCTTCAATGTGTTGGCGTAGAGCGCCTATACTAAGTCTATTCGTTCTCACAAATTAAAATTATGCAGCGGGTCGGGTAACCCAATTCGCGATGATAATTTCGCCGGTCCATCTTTGCTTCGGCAGTAGTATTACCATCAAATCGAAAATCCTGTCAGAGAAACCGTTTGACATTTCAACCATGAATCGCACAGAACACTTTTATACTACAGTCTAATCAGAACAAACTTTACGCAATGACAAAGTAGTAGACCCGGAGATAGTCGCGCCGCGTCTATTTTTGTGTCGTATGACGAACAGCGTAAATACGAGGAAGAGAAAGTCAATCGAAACGGGTATTAAGATTGTGACGAGTATGTTTCTAGATTCAAGATCACATGACATGTAAATACGTAATACCAATGACTTTTTTTTCCGCATTCCGGTGATTCCGCATTCTACATTTACAACCATTTAAAATAAAGCAAAAAAAAAAAAGGACATTGTTACAGATAAGGTTTATTATCCGGTAAGGTACGTATAAATTACGTATTTACAGCTTAATATAAATCTATACAAGTGGCTTCAATGAACTTCCAGGTCACACAAACAAAGAACAACCACACGGAATGAATAAACCTTAAATTTTGTATACATTCTTAAATGTAGACTAGACTCTTCCGGTTAGATGAGTGAATTACAACAATTATCAGTAATTCATCTGACATCATTAACTGGACAAAACTACTAGTAACAGACAACGTCTTGCCGAATTGACTGGCTTCCCGTCACTGAGTTTCAGGTGTATGCAGTTACAATCACTCATCCCCACAGAATGGATAT